GGTTAGAAAGGAAAACATTCCTCTCAAATTAGGCTATAAATATGATACCTCTCTTGTAAACAAATCACATTATTCAATACAATTCTCTTCTCTTTGTATTGTCTTATTTTCTCTCTTAAATTCAACTGATAGAACCATTATGGATCACATCCCACGCATGTCATAGATTATAGCCAACGATTGATCCAGCTTCTGCATCTGGGAGATTAAAATTGAATTCTATTAGGTTTTTTCACAGAGACTAATGATAGATATACAGTAACTCTCTTCAAACATAAATTACAACTTTTTATCATAACGTGCTCTTAAAGACTAATTCTTCTCAAAATCTTGTTCAAAATCAAAATGTATGAGTTGGAATATCACTCTCCAAATTAATTTATGCTAAATAAAAGTCTAATTTCGTCAATTTGTGGGGTCATTTGGATTTATTGGGACACAATTAAATGATACCAATCAAACCATAAAATTTAGAGAAATTTTTTTTACCATGAAATATACTATTAACGGTATTGTTAGTGCCAGTCTCGAAAATAAGTGGAGTGGGATATAGCCTAAAGTCCCATTTGATGAAAGTCCTCCAACAAATTACTGTATATTTTATTAAAATTACGAGCAAAATAAAGTCAAAATGCAATCAAACCAATCCAACTCAACTGTTCAATTAGAAAACATACTAATTTTTAATTAAAATGTTAAACATTAGATTAGTCACTCTTTATTTTGTCGAAGTATTTAAAGTTTATTTGATTGTTTAACAAGCATCGAGAAAACAATTATACATTTTTCTTCTTGGTATTACGAGTTTCCATAAAGAAGGTCTTTTTCTTGTCTTCTCATTATGTTGAGCATTGAAATAGGCACGAGAAGACAAAGAGCTTTCAGGTCGTTGCAATGTTTTATTCCCTTTATTCCCCTATAGAATGGAGGATCCAAATCTTTTGTGTTGTGGGGTCAAAAATTGAAATATAATTTTTTAAAAAACAATATAATGTTAATGAAAATAAGTTAATATGCATTCAATACTTTCAAAATGTTTTATAATTATATCATTATAAATATTATTAAATGGATTTTGCCACTTTTATAATTTTGTTTTTCATGTCGTTGACAGTTGTTGAGCCGAGGACAAGTAAATTAACTTCAATGTAGAAAGTGGATGAATTAAAATAAAATTCACATTTAGTTTAGGAAATAAATTAAATTTAAATTTAATACAAAAGTAATTTGAAAGTAATTCAAATTATACTTAATCCGTAATGATCCTAAAAATTTTGACGTCATATTCGATGCAAATTTCCTAATAAAATGATGTAAATTATATTGAAAAATTTACTGTGCAAAAATAATAAACGTTAAAGAAATAATTGAAAATTCTAAAGAAAAAATAGTTAGACCCCTCTTTTAAGACGTACGTTTGACACATATTTATCCTAATTAATCACTGCTGGAAGGATATCGATGCAGTATAAAGTTGGCTAAATGGACATTGGTATGATTTCTAATAAGTTGGTAGTATTCAATTACCTATGTCGAAAAACTTTAAATGTGTTTTCACGAGAGAGTTAATCCCACGATAGAAAATAACCTAATAATGTACTTGCTTATAGATTGATTCTCTTTTCTAAAATGTTCCAATTTAGCATCTCTCCTTGGCTTGCATTGGCTATCCACATGGTATTCATATGAGTGGTGCGATCATATATGCTCCTTCGAATCATGGGTGCAATGACGGGGTAAATGGCTGGTGCTCATGTTGTAGTCCGCGTGCACATGGCATCTGCATGACGAGCGAAAGAGTGTGATTGGGCACTACCATTTTAGTGTAGGAGGACCGTGCACACAAAATGGACGTGGACCACCATAAAAGGGTGGGATTTAGACTCTCACATTGTGCTGAACTTTGAATGGTGTGATCTAATAGATAGGGATGGCAATAGATGTCCCCTGTCCTCTCGAGGATTTCGAAAGACGAGGCATGAATTAAAATACATATTAATCTGTAAGTACAAATTTTTTTTTTATAATAAAATTGGTATAGCTGTTTTCGGCAACAACCAATCATACTGTCTTCCAGCATTTCTCTTAAAATACTCTCATTTACTTATTCATTTTATTTTTCAATTACGATTTAAATTTAAACTATATATATAAGAAATAAAGAATCGAGATAAGAAAGGGATAGGGATTTTGTCATCCTACTAAAAGTCAAGATTGATCTATGTCAAAAGTGGTAGCAATTCAGAGAAGCCATGGATTTGTAGAAATTAAACTTCATAATATCTTTTTTTCACCTCACAAATCAGTCCAAGTATAATCGCATTCTACGTTTCCTATTCTAATTATTCAGTGCCAGTGTCTACTTTTGTTGTGGCTGTTTTGTGTGGTACCGATAAATTAAGATGGGAGTACGTGTTCTTGAAGATGGTGCTGGTCAGTGTTTAAGTTGTCATTTCCTCGTATGGAGAAAGAATTTAATTCCTTGCATAGATGAAATGCATACTCTCTCCATCTTAATTATATAGACTTGTTTCGTTTTTTCATATTGATTAAGAAATCTTCTTTAATATCATTAGAAAATTAATTTTTGTCAAGATCTTCCTAGTATCTTTAGAAAGCTCATCATGCCTCTACATTATAGCTACCTATCTTTCAAAGTTTTGCCTCTGCTTCAACTATGTCACATCTACTTATTTTCAGAGAGTTTACATATCCCCTATATTGATGAACCATCCACCATGTTGGACGCCTTTGACATGGATGAACCATCCACCATGCAATATTCATTTATCGCTTCGAAGGAGAGGAGTGAGCACATCTTATTACCTACGAAAACAAAGCCTTCCATGGCTTTATTAAATACCATAGAGGAAGCCCTTGTGCAGAAGAGTAAACCCCTTGTAAAGAGGTAAAAAATAAAAATAAAAATAAAAATAAAAGAAAGCCTCGACAAGGAGAAGTGTGAACCTTCTCATAGAGAGCCACACCTTGCTACCTAAAATGTTAACCCTTTCCATGGCTGGATCAAACACTATGTAGGAAGTTCTTGAAATGGATGCGCTATCCTTATGTAAGGACGTCGTCTTATCACAGCTATATATATTCAGAGCATGTCCTCTGCTACTCATAACCAGAGCATTGCCTCTACTGCTTACTTTAGCACCCTCTCTGCTATTTATATTGAAATCACAGACAGTCTCTACATAAGTATCATCATTATCAGTACAATTTCTTACGTTTAGAGCGTCATCTCTACAACAGTTTGTCACAACTGCTTATATATTCAATTTTGTCTCTGCATTAGCTTTATCACAATGACTTATATTTCAAGTTCGAACAGCATATAATATTCGACTAAAACTTGGGGGATTATTGTGATTACTATTAGTATATGCATTATATTATTGTTACCAAGTAAGCATGTCACATCGCTGCTAGCATGCCTCATGACCATTACACTATTTTCATACTGCTAGTACGTATATCAGGTTATCTATATTATCATTTTATAGACATCATGTTACTTTGCACTAAAAGTTTGATTTGATCATCATTTGACCTTATTTGGAGAGACAAATGGACCCCAAATTTATTTTATATATCTACGGTGAAAATATTATGTTGTATTACAGGTTGGTTTAATCTATATTACAGAGGAAAGTCTGATCCGTACATGAATGTACGACTCAGACTTGGGGACTATTGTCATACCTATAAAATTTATTGGCCCTCCCATTGGGCTTGGACTCGGCCCATTCATTTTTCTATATATATATATGTGAATCCATTTCATTTTAAGGCACGTTCTCTTATTCTAGCCAAAATCCCCTCCCTCTCTTGCACTCATATTTTTCTTGTTTGACTGTTGACTTGATCGTTGAAATGCAAATGGTAGCCGGACGTTTTTCTCGACCGGTAGTCTTTGCCTTTTAACGTAGTGTTCAGTGTGCAGGTGATGTCCATGTGAAGGGGACGATGTCAGGATTTTGTTGGCTCATTTTTTGAGGTCAATAATTTTATTAGATCAAAATATAGATAAACTCATCTTAAGTACCATAATAAAATTTATCAATTAATAGATAACAACAGTTAACTGGCAAGACATTTCATTTAATATTTGCGCCAGTGAAGGAAAAGTTAAAATTTCTCAGATTCCAAGAATTAATTTCCGTTCCCTTTCATATCACCATGTTTAAGAACACAAATTTATTAATATATCTCTATATATAGGTTAAGTTACTCTACAGTCAATACCTATTTGATGAAATAGATTACTACAGTGGCCAAATCGGAAAAATAAGAACATGGAACAATATTCTGATGCTTAATTTACACATAAAATTGCAGAAATCAAAATTCTCGTACATGATTAATGTCATTTATGAACGCTCATTGATATCGATTATCAAACAAAACGCATAAGCCCATTTACATCATAAATTTAACGTTAATCACAAATGTCAATGCAAAATAAATAAACTATTCAATGAGAGGAAAGATTTTAGGCTAAGGAAAGATTCTAGCACAAATAAGGCCTCTCTACTTTTAGGGCCGTTAATTAAGGATAAAAATATACTAATTGAGTAATTAACAAATCCGTTAAGTTGACTTCGCTGTTGGTGCAATTCCTCCTTTGCCGTCAAATTATAAACCCAAATTAAATTAGATAGAAGTTATTTAAATTAAAGGAATATATACAAACACACGTTGCTAATGTTATTTACTTAACGGTGAGTTATAAAATGTTAAGTTTATTATAAAATAAATATCATATAACTTATTTTAGATTTAATTGAATTCTCAGCATATTAATTGATTTAGAATAAACTAGTTTGAAAATAAAATCTTGATTTGTTAACATCTCACTAGATTAATTTAGATTGAAGCTAGAATTGGAATTAAGTAGTCTATAGGAAACGGTAATGAGGACCACTTTATTATGTCGATTAGTTTAGATTGAAGCTAGAATTGGAATAAAAATTGGAAGTAAGTAGTCAATAGAAAACGATAATGGGGGACCACTTTATTATTTTTCACAATTGGTACACACTTGTAATTAACCATTAGAACTGAACACATGGCATACGGATTAACTAAATATCAAGCCGCCTAATGTTCAATATATAACATGATTATGCATACAGACTCAAATTAGACAATCTCGGAGAAGGAATAGCAAATAATGGTTCGGTTTTCCTCATGATAATTCCCAATGTCTCTGAGACATCAAGATTTTTGCCCTCTGGTATTTTCCAATCAAATGAATGCAGAAGCGAAGCTAGGACGTACATTACCAATTTCTCTGCCAGGTGAAGGCCGGGACATATCCTTCTTCCCGATCCAAATGGAAGATATTCAAAATTGTTTCCCAAATAGTCGCATAATTTGCCACTGTCGCCGTTCAAAAATCTCTCCGGCATAAATTCCGATGGATTCTCCCAAATCTGTGGATCCATTTGCACTGACCATGAATTCAGAAAGACACGNAAAAATCTCTCCGGCATAAATTCCGATGGATTCTCCCAAATCTGTGGATCCATTTGCACTGACCATGAATTCAGAAAGACACGAGAACCCTTTGGTATGGTATATCCCCCGACTATGCAAGATTCGCTCGAAATTCTTGGGACCAAGAGGGGAAGTGGGGATGTAGGCGGAACGTTTCCTTCACAATTGCATACAGATACTTCAGTTTCGCAACATGGAATTCTTCCACAGAGTTGTTTATCCCGACAACATTTGTTATTTCTTGTTGCACCCTTTTCATTACATCTGGATTCCGCTAAATCTCTGTCATTACCCACTCGACTGTGTTGCCGTTGTGTCCGTCCCCCCCACAACGATGTCCTGTTGTCCACAACGTCAGTTGAGTTAGAAATTCAGTAGCACTCAACAGCAAGAAAGAAAACTAAAACTATTGTTATTACACTATCCTGTCTTGTCCAGTAATATTACAGAATTTTCTGGAAATCACAAAAAGTACTACCTACTTATGCAGCATGATTAAAAAAGAATAATAAACGAATATTTGAAAGAATTAATGGAATTGAAAACCGAAAAGAGGGAAAAATTTGATGCTACTATAATCAGAAAATTGCACAAAAATAAAGAAATTACCATCAATATGGCCTTTATTTGTATCAGGTTAATTGAAGTATTCTTCTCCTTTAGCTCTAGAAGAATTTTCAGGAAGTCCTTTCTGTTATCTTCTTCACCTCCACCAGAATCCATCTTCATACGTTCATTTATGACGTTATCAAGAATCCCGTCAATATGTGGCAAACAATTCTTCATTTCTTTTGCTATTCCTTGAATGTCAAACCTGGCAAGAACTGGAAAAAAATCAGAAATGTTTGGTTTTCCAATCAAATCAACAACTTTTGTTGCTACTTTATGAAACTCGGCGCCAACTTTATCCCGCTTGTCCCCGTCAATTGTGCCGCCCCACAACAAGTTCAATACAACGTTGAATTCAGTAACAAAAGCCAACTCCCCAATTTCTATGCTGGTGCCAATCTTTGTGTACACATTTCTGATAGCCTTTCTGACCTCGTCTTTTCGCAGTTTGTAGGAAGCCTCAAGATTATTGTTACTCAGCAATTCTCGTACAAATAATTTACGCATATCACGCCAGTAAGGGCCATTGGGCGACCAAACAATATCCAGTCCGCCGTAAGTTGCAATCAATCCTGCGACAGGTGCATCGTGGTTGGCTAAAATCATGTCTTGATCTCGAACAACTTCTTTAATCAGGCTCGGTGAATTGATAACTAAACATAGTTTCTTTCCAAGCCATATTCGGTAGATTGGGCCGTAGCGATGAGCCAATTCTGTGAACTGATGGTGCAAGTTTGTGCGCAGAAACGGCAAATATCCAAGAATTGGCAAACCTCTGGGCCCTGGTGGTAGCAAGGCCGTTTCTTTACTTGGTTTTTTGAATATCAATGAATAACAAAATATAGACGCAATCACAATCAAGAATCCAAAAGCTGAACTTACAAGCTCTTCCATCATTTTACTGCTTAGGATTGAAGAAGAAATGCTCAAATAACACTGCTTTATATAGCAAAGATTCATGAACTCTATACAAACTACAGCCATACAAATTAGTTATCTATACTGTATAAACGGATAAATTCCACATCGAATAGTTTCTGAAATATAGACCAACATATTAAAGGCTTGGATTACTCATCTTAATCAGGTTGATCTTTTAAGATAGAACCTCAAGTTTTAATATAGTATCGAAGTCTATTATGCTTCTGTTGGGTATTTTTTGGTAAGTGATACCCAAATCCCCTAGGCAATGATGAAAATCGAGGCCCGTTTAAATTCATAGGCTATAAGCCTAATATTGAAGAACATATTGGACCCACACCACAATTGATGTAACCCAATTGTGTTGGGTATTTGGAGGAAATCAGCCCATTGGGCTAGATGCTCAATACCCGACTATGGAGATAAATGAAATCACAAAAGATAGAATTGGTTGCAAATAATTATCTCGTGATAATTATCCTATCCCTACTGTTTCTGTTGGACTCAAATTTAAACTTCCCTGTGATATTGGAGATTTGATTTCCCTCGTGATAATATACAAGAGTTTTAATATATCTAAACACTCAACCAATTTGAAATAAAGAGAGAAGCCGGCTGCCAACTTCTTCGAAGCGTGAGAACTTTTCTGCAAAAAGAAAAAGAGACTTCCTTCTTTGTGAAAACCGAAGTCGACCTTTGTGGTGTGCCTTTGTGTGCCTTTTCTTCTTCGTGAATGAAAAAGTCTCCC